GACTGATGATCCTTCCAACTCAGAATGTTCTATGGTTCTATGATAGCCTGGATCATCCACAGGTCTGGAAACCCCTGGTCAGTTTTAACTTCCTGCATATTTACCTGGTGAATTACACCCCCCCAATTCTGCTGTATGCATGTATTCCCTATCCTTGGAAATTTTAACAGCAGTAGTAAAACAAGAAGATGATGCAGATAATGAAAAAAAAAACCGAGTACCTCTTGTTCCTGGCACAAGGGAAAAGGCAGCATATAGAATAAACCCATCTATACTGACCATAAATCGTCCTGATAAACATTGCAGGAGTTCTGTGTTGGCTGTTAGGTCGTACATGGGATAATGAAGAGCCAGCTTCACATATGTGTTCAATACCACACTTGGCTCCACATCTGATCCTTTGTAAAGTAGAAATCAAATTATACACATGAGAAAAAATACTCAACTAATTATTTCTTTTAAAAAACTACCCCAAAACAATTAAATTCTTTGAAGGCAGGAAGCAAATAAAGCTGTTAGAGCATCCTCCCCTTAAAATAGGTGTGTAAATAAACAGCTGACAGATTTGGCAAACTGACATATCGCAGAGCTCCAAGGAGGGAACAAAGCCACTTTGTCTACATGTCCTCACATGGAAGTCAGCCCCGTGCCAGCTCCAGGCCTCACCTGACCCCCACGCTCCAGGGAGGACAGAGAAGATGGTGTGCAGCCAGCATGCAACCCATGGCCAGCACTGGGCAAGGGTTAGAAGCCACTGCAAACTCCAGCTCATAGATACAAATACATCCCGTGGGAAACACTACTGTGAGCATTTCCATCTCTTCTTGACCTTGAAACACATGACCTTAAAACACATGCTGAAGTACAGCATCAGGGATCCAGGGAACAAGCAGCTTCTACTCTGCTTTACACCAGATGAACTTTCCTTGCCTCACTCACTGCTGTGCCAGAGGAGTTTCATGTTTCCATCACTGAAGGAGCATTAGGTACCAGGAATGGAGACTGGCTTCTGAAACATCTCCATGTGCTGGGGACTACCAGGTGTTCCCACCAGCTGATACGCTCAGCGTACAGTGACAACAGAAATGGCTATTGCTTGTGGAATAGTTGCACAAGAGCCTTTCAAAGCTGGCTCTGTCAATCATCTGTTTCTTCGAAATACTCCTTAAAAATAAGTAGAAAATATCACCTGCTCAGGTTGCTGAAGGAATAAACAAGAGGTTCCATGTATCATTTGAGGGGGGAGGATTTGGTCAGATTTCACAACCATGTAGTATGAAGTGTAACTCCAAATACCACTCTAAATTGGAAAGGCACTGCTCCACCCCACAGCAGGAGTTTATTAAAATGTGACATATAATTAAAGTTATTAAAAATTTCTGCTGCATGACATTGTTGAAAAAAATAAATAGTTGCAAAAGCTGTTTACATCTGACAATAAGTGAGAGCAGATTCATTTAGTTACTTCCAGGACATCACTGATGACTGGGATGCTTTGGAAGAAAACTTGTTAGAGATGTCTACGTCCTCTCCACCTCAAACCATCAGTCACTTAGATCCTCTTCTTACAGTGATGTCAGAGGGCTTCTGTGTTCCTGTGTCATTTCAGACCTGTGTCATTGGCCACATTCTGCAGGTCGTCATGTTGCATGAGGTTCATAGTTCTGCCTCTTTTCTGGGTCCTGGGCTTCTCATGGAAACTTTGAGCAATACCATCCCATAATCCAAAGATAGACTGAGAGCAGCAGAGTGTGCCGAGGAGCACAGCATCTTTAGAGACTTCCAGGATAATACCTAAGGGGCAGGGGTCCAGGAGAAAGCCTGCATGGCCAAAAATCTAGGTACAAGGTGCCATGAAAGCAATGTTAACTCTGTGGTAGATACTCTGGCATCCCTTTCAAGCTTCACTGCTCCATCCAGATCAAAATGTAGCATTTCCCTTTCTTTCAACCACAGAAAACATGTCAGGTCATACATACATTTGACAGCTTCAAGTATTTGTGAGTCACAAGCCAGACCTCCCCCAAACCATGTCATAGCCATCAACGAAACTATAGAGATGTGTCTTACTTTCTGTTGTTTGACACTTCATGACTGAGATTCTCCCTTCAAATACAATTGCGAGACACTGATTTTTAACCAGAAGCTGTGATTTTCACATATTCAGCCAAATGTATCATGTATCCATTAGTGGATTAAGAAAATGAGAAATATCATGAGACTTGTGACAAAAATCACATGATCTGACAACACTATACTCTGATATCCCACAAGTATCAGAGACTCACTGCTGCAGGGACAGGGCCAAGGGTGTTCCTACACAGAGCACTGGGCACTGCACAGGTTCAGGCACACCAGGTTTCCAGCATGGCAAATGCATTCTTCCCTTTGTCTCAAAGAATGGGTTTTTGTTTAAAAGGATACCCTCCTAGAGCCCTCCTAGAGCAAATAGCATGTCAGCTGCCTTCAAAGCCATTCCCTGTTTAGTATTTAGCATAAAATCGTAGAATAATAAAATCGTTATGGTTGGAAAAGACCTCTAAGATCACCAAGTCCAACTATCAACCTGGCCACTACCACCATGTTCACCACTGAACAGCATGCCACATCCACACATTTTTTGAACGCTTTGAAGGATGGTGATTCCACCACTGCCCTGGGCAGCCTGTGCCAGGGCTGGACAAGCCTTCCTGTGAAGAAAATTTTCCTAATATCCAGTCTAAACCTCTCCAAAATTTATAGATCTTACAAACTGCCTTCTGGTTTTCTGCAAGCAGGCAAAGCTTCACAGCAAACCAGTGCAACTGCCTCAGCAGAGCTGCTGCTCTAGGAAAGCAGTTTTCAAATACAGGGTGAGGGAATGCAAATAAGCAATTGCTCTGATGAACACTGTTGCCACTTTTTAAGTCCGTGAAGAATTGTCCTGTCCTGCTGTAATGCACATCAACTAAATGTTAAGCCTCCAATGCAGGGAAGGAGCTGTCTTGAGCTGGTTTATGTAGTTTGTATGTTTTCACTTGTTCTCTAAGTGTAACCCATCAGTTCCATAAAATGCAGAGGAAGATGCCAGTGTTCTGTAGCAGAAGTGGGAGCCTGAATCTGTTTGGAACCATTGGCTGGCAAATATTTAAGGGTTAGCATAATAAATATGAAGTTTTAAATGTCTATTTTAGATTCTCAGCTGCTTTTGTCTCCTTCCCGCACAGCACTTATTTCCCTTCTGACAATAAATCATGTTTACATGAGCAATAAAGCCAACTCCAGGGGGTGCAGCCATCAGAACTAAGCACAGTCCCAGAGGGAGCTAAGGCACAAATCTTACATAAAGTTTGGGTGTTGCTTCCTTATCTTGGTGTAACTTTGCTGCCTCTTGCGTTAGACACCTAAACAAATTATCGTCATTCAGTGCTCTGGCACAGGGACAGTGAATTTTCCTGCTTTCTCTGGAGCTTCCCACAGCTGCCAGCATCCCTGTCATCTCAAGGATGTACTTTCCTCCATCCAACATTGCTCAGCTTGGCCTCATCTGTAGACCAGCATAGCTGGGCTTCCTGCTCACTCAGTGGGCTGAGCTGGACATCCAGCAAGGGAATTTGTTTCACTTGCAATCATATTATTGCATTTCAAAGCCACATGATAAAATAAGAACACCAGGGAGCTAAGTCATGCAATCTAGTTAACATCATCGTAGAGATGGGGAAGAGGAAAGAAATTCAAAGGAACTGCAGAGGGGTAGGATCAAGGATAATTGGGCTGCCTTTCACATGTGTACATCAGGCATGATATTGCCAGTAGGACAGAACAGCTCCCTACAACTCTGTTTAATCCTAGGTTGAGATGTGCCTTCTTTGCAAAGGGATTGTCTAATCATTTGTCCTACACTTTCTGGGAATCAGAGAAGAGTCTTCATTCTGGTACTCCTTGAGGTTCTCTTCTCTCCCCTTCTTAAAGTTAGATTTGCCTTTTCCCACTTTCTAAGACCTCTCTTGTCCCTTCACAGTTTCTTGGAGCTGTATCAATGTTGTTCAACCATTGCTTAGCTAATTACTAGTGTTTTAGGATGAATTTCATCATGGAATGAAATTTATCTTAGCATTTGTGATCTTCTTCTTTCTTTTTCTTATTTTTTTTTATGCTGCAACCCTAGTCCTGCATTAAAATTAATTGCAATAACCAGTGAACTTTCCAGCGATGTCTGATCCAAATTAAACACTAAGTGATTGCCATCTCTGGGTCTGTTTTGGCTTTTCCCAAATAATACCTTACCTGGAGTTTTACCTCTCTGTTTCTTCCACTGTATTTTCTCTTGTTTTATTTCCTGTGCTTGCAGTGACTCACATTTACTCTTTACTTTTCTGAACAGCTCCACTCCCCTCTTTTTGTGCTGAACCTCAGTCATCTGCCACATTTCCATTTTTCTGACTTTTTCCACTCTGGTTTTCAATGTCCTCAGATTTCCTGAGGCAGCTGTATTAGATTTTTGCTGTCCCTTGCATCAGGTTGGCCTGGCATGCCAGATGATTTAAAGGAGACCTTCCTGATACAAAACAATGAGGCATTTAATGAAAAACAAAATTTTATTGTAGTTCTATCACACTACTCAGTAAAAATATGGGGGACTTTTCATTCTGAAATGCTTACAAAACCCACTGGTTTGGAGAAGGTTGGAATCTCAGGAGTATGTAACTATCATCAGCGATTTTGTATGAGGCAAATATGCAAACTGGCGACCATCTCTCTCTAGCTGTACAGAAAGACATTATGCTTTTGCTACGGTCATAGTGCTCAGCAAACCACAGAGAACAGCTCAGGACTGCCAGCCCCAACATTCCTTTCTTTACTTGTATCAGACCTTGAAGCATTTCTGGTAAATAACCTTCTTGGTACACAGAAAACGCTCAAATTCATACGAATAATGAACTTCCTATGTTGTCTTTAAGGCACATATTTCTATCCAAATTTCATTTTGGTCCAGAGGAGCAGTTGTGTTTCAGCACCAGCTATCCAGGGATCTGGCAGCTCGATTTGTTGTAATTATCCTTATGTCCATAGACTTCCACGACGTGTATTGCATTCCCCGTCTGCAGCGCAGTGTTGTGTCCTGGCACACCATGTGTCCCAGGTGCACTGCTGCTCTTGCCCAGCTTTGGCAGGTGATCACTGTCTTTGCAACACCCAAGAGCTACAGTGTCCCGAGACCACTCCTCCTGGAACCTGTAAGCACAAAGGGAAAAATTATTTCTGTTTTATGAGCTCTGGTGAGGATACAGAACTTCCTAATATGTTTTATTTGCACATCAAGCGTTTTGCAAATGACTTGTGCTGTAACATAAGGATTCACTTCTCCCAGCATTAAAACCAGTTAGCAGCAGTGGGGTAAATAATTGTGGCCCTGTAGAAGCTGATGCAGACCTTGAAAAGACTTGTGAGGTTAGTTTTATTTGGGGTTGGGGCAGATGTTATTTGTTTGTTTGCCATCAAATGAGTCCCCAGCTTCAATGTAGTGCTATACTATCTGGCAAATGCTACTGAGAACACTTGAAGGCTGAGCCTGGTGCAGAAGGAACATCCTCGCTTGGTCAGTGGAGCACTGATGGGAGCACAAGAGCCAGCTGTGCTCAGTGGGACTTGAGGTGTTACTTGCAGAGCTGCCAGCTATGCCGATGCAGTGCAGCCACATCGGGGCCTTTGGCTGCTTGCCCTGGCTACCCCTGGGCCCTCTCTGAAGGGGCTGAGACTCTGTTTGCAGCACTGGCAGTCACTGATGGATCACATTCCCCACTTTTGCCCACCAAGAAGAGAAGGTTTGCCCAGCTCTGGGGGAAGGCAGCACAGGCAACTGCCCGGAGAGCAACACTCCAGCAGTGGATGGTGTGGGCAGAGCAGCAGCAGTGGCAGATGGAGATGGTAGAGTGGTTGAAAAGATGCTCAGTAAACTACACACACCTCATTCAGGAGCACAGAGGGATAGGATCAGCTTGTTCTTGAACTCTGCTGCAAGAAGCATGACAGATGCAGCAGTCTTTATGCACATGGTCTGTGAACCAGAGGCAGGTAAGACACAGCCCTTTGGGGTCCATGCCAAATTACTGTAGCCTGAATGTGTGGGGCTTTTGTAAAACATCACCTATTGTACAGCAGCTAGTACAGGCAGGGTGGAGGCTGAGCTTGCCTGCCCCACATTCACTGCAGGTGAGCCAGCTCACGTGGCTCCTCCAGCTTCCTCTGAACCCTTGGTGTGGGCCTCTGAAGGCAGCAGCCTGCACACCCACGGCCAGGACAGCATGGTCTTACACTGTCATACATGAAAAGCCAGTCAGGAAGCAGAAGCTGTGTTCTGCAATTACCAGCTGCAGAAGCCAGCAGAAATGCTCACACATGAAATGTGCATACACAGAGGAACCGCAGGGGAACAACAGAAAATAAATGCAAATAACTGAAGTCTCTCTGTCCTGGTACAGGGTAGGTATACTGCAATTACATCTCTCCTGTAAAGGAGAATAAATCTTGCTCATTACTGAAAGGTGTACTACAAAATTAGTTGGGGTATGAACTACAGTCAAATAGTGTAAAGGCTTCTTAAAACACTGCACTGATGAGAAGACACTAGATCAGCATAGTCTGCACATACTCATCACGGAGGTGCTCAGACGAGCAGAATGTACCCCCCTGTAATTCAGACAACAACAAACTCATCTATTTCTCAAAACACCAGCCTGGTAACTTCACCCACTTTGTACTGACCTGTACTGTTTTAACTCTGCTTTGTAATCTTGGAGCCTCAATAGGCCCTCAAGGGTCTTTGTGCTGGGCACCAGAACACCTGTCTGAGCATCCCTGTGACCTGCCATCAGGGAACAGAAACCACATGGAGTAATGCTGCAGGCCTCACTACTGAAAGAAAATCTTATGAGATACTTACTGTTGTGCATTTATTTATTTGTTTTTTAATAGTATGAAGAACTCAGTTCTATGTTATTGAGGTGGTAGTCAATTGTCACAAAATAAAAATCAAATCAAAGCAGCATGTACAGGGAGAACTGGGATAAAGTTTTGCATGGAGCAGCCACAGCCTTTGCAAATCACCCTGCCACTATTACAGCTCATATCTAGCTATTCTGGTTATGGTGCAATAAATTCAGTTCACCTGGGCAGAATTCATTCCACTCTGATGTTTTCCCCTAGAAAGCTCCATATTGTTAAACTCTGTGATTCCTCACAGTCCACCACCAACTCAGAAAGCCAAACTGGCTAAAACTGTATTTGGAGGACAACAGTACTGGCTTAGCAACCCCTTCCTCCCATTTTGGGAACTATTACGCTTCCATTGACTGCCACTGGCACAGGCCACCCAGAGAAACTGTGGCTGCCCCATCCCTGGAAGTGTTCAAAGATGGGTTGGACGGGGCTTGCAAGCAACCTGGTCTAGTGGAAGGTGTCCCTGCCCATGGCAGGGGGTTAGAATGAGATAGTCCTTAAGGTCCCTTCCAAACCAACCCATTCTGTGATTCCATGATTCTATAAGCATAGGATGAGGTGACAGTGGGCACCCTCCCTTTCCTGCAGTACATTGAATCCTGTGGACATCAGAGGGATGGTGAAGCCAGTGGGGTTCCACCTCAGCAGAGGATGAGAAGAGCTATTAAGAGGGCAGCAGTGTTGCCAAGGGACAGATAACTGTGCACACAGTGGGCTCTGCTCTGTGTGCATAGCCTTCAGTCCGACACAGCCTTCAGTTTGCACTTCATCCTCTGGAGCTCTGTACTTTGTCCTGAATAAGTGTAACTGTTTTTCCAAGCACTTCAACTTTCCTTAACTCCAGTTCCCAGCTGGGCTACTTCAAAATATCATGGTAAGAGGATTAGAAGTCCTCCCTGTACCCTTATCTGGCAATGCAAACCCACCCCAGGGTGCTGGATGCTGTGCAGCTAGGCTAGGTGCATGATACATTTGACAAGGACAGTCTTTATCTGATAGATAAATTCAGAGCTTCCATCTGGAGAACAACCAGCATGGCATTTGTCAAAGGGGTTTAGAGAATTCACAAGAATTTTGCTTTGTGTGACTTGAGAGCTGTTCCTTGCTGGAGGGAAGATGCTGTTAATGGGACATCCGAGACGTGTGAGAACCCAGAGCATCAGGGCCGCCAGAAAGCTGCTCAGTGCTGGCACTGCCTCTGAAAACAGATTTTATACTGGAGGATGGGAGGGGATTTTTTTTGTTGCTGCATGTCTGGTGGCTTTGTACAAGACTCTGGGGTAATCATGGAAGCATTAGGAAAACAATAATAGCAGTTCTATTGAAAGCACATGTTGCTGTGCACACCCCCTCCACACTCGTTGCAATGACAATTAAGATCGAAATTCAGAAATGGGTGTAATTTAGCAGCCAGATATCCTAGCCCTTCTGACAGGGCCCCAATGTGAAACCACAGCTCACTTCCCCTGCCACAGCTTTCTTTGAAACCTGCATGTCAAACCGTACTGGGGAGATTTTAGTCTCTGAAAGGTGGCAGTGGGGAACACAGAGCACAGGAAAAACAAAGTAGAAGAAAATAAATTAACAGCTCCATGAACAGAGAAGCTCAAGAAGTCTCAGGGAAAAGCCTGGAAAAGAAATCTGTCCCTCTCCTGTGCTTGGTCTCCTCCCCTCTGGTCCTCAGTGCCACACAATCAAACATCTCATGTAGGGAACCATGTTCATTCCATACAATTGTATCAAACAGGTCATTTGCCCTTTGCAGCCTTTTCACTGGGTGCTTTATGTGGTGCAGTATTAAATCCCACAGTGATGAGGGGTCTTGCACCCCTTCCTGTGCCCTGAGAGCAGTGACAGGTGCCTCACTGCAATTGTAGGTGAGCAGGGGGACACACTCACAGTCAGTCACAGACATTCAAGGATGCTGTGCCAAAGGTCCTGCATGTGTCCACAGCCTTGGGCACTGCTCTGCATGCCCCAGCTTGCAAGCAAACACGGATCATAACAGAAAAATGCATGGCTCTTCCAGAGGGAACAGAGGGCTAGGCTCTCTGATGACAATGAGGCTTTCAAAAGCACCTCAAGAGATTGGTTTCTCCAGGACAGTCTTGTACTCTCACTGTTGTAGGTGATTTGCCCCCTTAATTCTCCCACTGGTGCATCTCCTGGCAGTCATTCCAGGTGTCCTGGTGCATTTTCCTTGTTCTAATTATGCTTTTCAGCAGCTTGTCTTACAACCTGGGTATTTTTTTCAAATGTTGGAGAAGTGTTTTCACTGCAGTAAATCCACACCACACTATCCTGCTAGCAGGAAGGCATCAGATCCTTCAGCTTTTTAATCTCTCCTACTTAGGTGTTCAGAAGGCAAGGAGCTGGGAAAGTGCACTCAAGGGGACAGAGGGCAAGGCAGGAATGTGGCCACGTGTCACATCCCATCTTGTCCATGCTTCTAGAAGGTCCCTTGGCTCACAGCTGTGCTCCTCAGCAAGCCTGGGCAGACATCAACATTTTTTAAAGCAACACACATTTCTGATTTGTGCCTTCCTTGCAACCCCTTACAGAAGATAGTGGAAAATTTCCAGCATTGTGGCCACTAAATCAAAGAGAAAAGGAAAACACATTTCATTTTACTGCAGAGACCACAGCCATGAGCCAATCTCACCAATCCTGTATGTGACTTTTTGGACTGACTAAAGATGCTGAGCTCTCATAAGAGCACACTGGCTTTGGGTTTTTCTGCAAAACCTTTTCACTTGGAATTCTTTGTTGTTGGATTGTCCTTATTTGCTTTTTGCCAGGTACACTGCTAAAGCATCTTGTAGTCAGAGAGGGCTCTGGTACAAAAATTTCAGCTACTAAAAATATCTTCTGTGGGAGAACATACTAGCCTGTTTCTCTGCAGAAGAGATTGTTTCTCCTTGGTAATATGCTCCAGCTGTGTGGAGAGCTGAAAGGAGGACTTTAAACCTAGCAAGACAAGGGCTTTTCCATTTGACTCACTCCTGTGGTCAGATCAGCTACTTCATAGAGAATGTTTTATAACTTGGCCTAGAGCTGTGTAAAATAATTCACCTCTAAACAGTTCAAATTCTGAATGCACAACTTCTTCCAAATGCTTCCACACTAGATGAAAAACTATACCAAATTTCATTGCTGCTCTTTAGATGTATTTTTGAGCTGGACTGGTTTCTTTTTTGTTGCCATCTTAGCTGACAGAGGATAAAAAAGAGTCAGTC